AGACCCCAGAGCAGGCAAGCTGCAAACCTCTGGAGCTGCCTGGAGGAGGCAAATGAAGGGAGAAGGAGAAGGTAGACACACAGTGGGAAGAGAGGTTTTAGAGGAAGAGCAAGCCGCCCTAAATACTGGGGGGACAGGAGTGCCAAGGGTCAGGAGTGGATGCCTAGGAAAGAGACAGAAGAAGAAGGGTAAATCTGCACCTCCCCACTAAAGAACAGACTACCCTGCCAGTCTCTTTAGCAAGGCTCCCCCTCCCAGGAGGTGGTCCTTAGCCAAACTGACTGAACCAGGCTGTCATGGTTACTGTCCTGTTACCGTGAGGAAACATCATGACTGAGGCAACTCTTTCAAAAGAAAGCATTAGATTGGGAGCTCGCCTACAGCTTCAGATGGTGAGTCCGTGACCATCCTGGCGGGGAAGTATGGCGGCATGCAGGCAGGCATGGTGCTGGGGCAGAGCGAGAGCTTTACATCCTGATCTGCAGAGAGCAGGGCTGGTGTGGGATTTCGAAACCTCAGAGTCCAGCACCCCCAATGAACCTACAGATGCCTCCTAATCCTTTCAAAGAGTCCATCAGCTGGGGACTAAGCATGCAAATACACAAGACTATGGGAGGCATTCTCATGCCCACCGCACAGCCCAGCTGAAGTGCTGGGTCTCCGCCCAGGCCAGAGATTCTATGCAGGTGACCAGAGCCTTTTCTGTTCTAACAGGAGGACAGTCTGGATGGCCAACAGAGCCAGAGCTGGAACTTCGAGGTGTGATGAGGGGCTGTGGGAACAAGAAGAAACACCATTCAGAGATGCTGTTTCTAAGGGATGATGGTCTTGGTTTAGGAACCTTGTGAGGGATGCAATGTTTCCAGGTGGGCTCACCAACATCGGGGTTACCACAGATGCAGCTTCCCTTGGTATACTATAAATTAAGCCGGAACCGCAACACGGCCCACAGGACCTGTGTCGCCTGCTCCATTCCCTCCAAAGGGTCACGCTGATGTCACTTCCGTTTTCCTTCCAATGCTGATGGAGTATACGAGCACCCTGTCCAGGCCTGGATGGGAATACGCTCCTGTACCCTCCTTACAGACAAACATGTGGCCTTGGCAGCTCACTGAACTGGCAGAGATGCAAGAAAGAAGGAGCTGTGGTCTCCAAAACACTGCTTGGAAAAGGCTCCATTTCACACTGCCTAGAAATAAGAAACAAGCGTCTGTCTATCCTCTCTTAGCTCACACACAGTGGGTCTGTTCAGTCAGCAGCAGCACCTTAACCAGTCCAGAGTCTCATCTCATACGACTGCCTTTGCTTGGAATGCTCCAGTTGTATCCACTGCTCTAGTTGGTGTGAATGTGGGAGAGTGGGGCCTGAAAACGAGGCGGACTAAAGCCTCCTGCAAGGGTCAACTTTATTCAGAGCACCGGACAATTTATACTCTGAGGGTTAAGAAGAGTCACCTGAGTAAGGTGTACAATTACAAGGATGAGCCAAATGTGGCAAAAACAAACATGTTTTTCCGCAGAGGCCTATGAATAATAACAGCTGAGGGGCTGGAGAGATGGCTCAGCAGTTAAGAGCACTGGCTGTTCTTCCAGAGGACCCAGGTTCAATTCCCAGCCCCCCGTATGGCAGCTCATAACTGTCTATACCTCTAGTTCCAGGGGATCTGACACCTTCACACCAATGCACAGGAAAATAAAGTTAAATAAATTATTTTAAAAAATAACAGCTGAAGTAAACTTGTTCCTATCCACTACAGCAGGAAGGAGCACAAGAACACATTCTGAGAACAATTCTCTGTTTTGAAGAAACTGAGGTCACATGACTCTCGTATTGTTTTCTTGGGGCTTTCTCAGGAGCACTCAGAATTCTCTCATGACTTCATTCCTGGAGTGTGTTCTGACACACTGCACAGGTTTCTCTTAGTGCTTGAGATACTCCAGATGTTCTGAGCGTTGCTGGCCCAGCCCGGGCTTTCTCCACCGCTGGTGTCTTTGCATCTGTCCTTCTCTCCACCTAGGCAACTTATTACATGATGCTTTGCCTGGATAACTCCCTCTCCAGGCCTCTGATCAGATCACACCGGCACAGGGGCAGTTTGGGCCTCCCAAGTTAACCTAGCTCTGTTAATCTTTTACGACAAGCATTATACTTTAACTCCATGTATGTGTCTTTCCCTGGAAGATCCGAGCACAGCTGAGTTCATGACTTTTTTGCTCAGTCATGTACTATACATTCCGCACCTAGCACTGAGGAGGGGGAGAGAGAGAGTTCTAGAAGGCCTCACACAAAGCTTTAGAATATCCACACAGGAAAAAAACAAGTTGGCAGAGAGGAAGGCTGGAAGCTATTCCCTCCCTACCCACTGAGGCCACCTAATGCCAGCCAGGCCCAGAGATAACCCCAGCGTCCAAGTGTGACTGTGAATCTTTGTGATACTAAAACACACACCTGAGGGTGGAGACTTAAATGGAGACACACAACGCATGAAGTTGTATGAAGAACTACGTGTAACAAAGCATGTGAAGAAAAGTCTGCGATATATAAATGAGTCCCCAAAGCCCATGCTAAGGTAAGGAAATGCCAGATGCTCTGTGTCTTTGTAGGGCAGGGCTCTTTGAGTGGCTGAACTGCCATGGCCTGCCTTTTCCCTTAAGTGTCTTTATTAATACACTCTCTCACCATGTTTACTGCTACCCACGCATCTAGTCCTTCGCTCCAGGACACAAGAATATAAAACGCCTCTAGAGGTGCCCACCAAGTCCCTTCATCAGTCATTATCAGTTTGATAACTACCACTAGATAAAAGAGTGCCTGGGAAATCTGGGTTTGACGTGATGTGAACAGAGCCTGATGTTGAGTGGAGACGGCAGAGAAGTAGGCCATTGCATCCGGAGTCAGTAAGATTTAAAGAAAACAAACTGAGGCAGTGGAGATAGCTCAAGGGCTGAGTGATCCCGTGCCATCATGTGTAGATGTAACCAACTGTCTTATTAAATAAGAAACAAGAACCAAGCAAAGAAGAAAGCCAAGAGATCAGAGCTAAGAGCCTTACCCGTCTGCGGCAGCTAACCTGTTTAGCCAAGAGACCTCTCCGAAAGAAAGACCTACTTCCTGTCTGTCTTTATATAGACTTTCTGTTCTGCCTTCTCATTGGTTGTAAACTCAAACACACGACTGCCTCGTCATTGCCTGTCTGTACAGACCTCCAGGTCTTCTATGGTATTGAGATTAAAGGCGTGTGTCTCCAATGTTGGCTGTATCCTTGAACACACAGAGATCTACCTAGCTCTGCCTACCAAGTGCTGGGATTAAAGGTGTGCACCAACGCCCAGCTTTTGCTATGGCTCTAATAGCTCAGACCCCTGGGCAACTTTATTTATTAACATACAATTAAAATCACATTTCAGTACAAATAAAATACCACCATAATCATGGGGATCGAATCTCCATGCAATCATGGGGATCGAATCTCCACGCAGTCATGGGGACCCGAGTGTGAATGTCCAGCTCCAAGGCACGGGAGCACCTGTAAACCAAGCCCTGCAGGAGGTGGAAACTGGAAGATCACTAAGGCGTGGTTGTCAGCCTGTGACTGCTTTCAGAGTTTATCCAGAGGTTCAGATGATTGGAGCACTATATAGACCGGAACACTCTTTCTCCCACGGAACACAGGAACACAGGGCTTTGTTTGTTATTCCAAACACCCTGCCCTGTGCCTGGTGCTGGGTGAGGAACTGGGTCTCACCCAAGTTATTTCTTCACAGAGCTCAGTCAAGGCTCATGCAAAGTAAACCAGGAATGCCAGGGCAAGAGAGGCTCTGAGGATCAGCATTGCTCACTGCAGATGGAGCCAAAACAGAGCACCCATGCTGATTCCCGCCCCGCCCCCCCC